TTTTTTGGTCTTTTTGAGACAGGGTCTCACTATGCAGTTCAGGCTGGCCTTGAGCTCACTTTGTAGCCCAGGCTGGTCTCCAACTCGCAGGGATCCTCCTGCCTCAGCCTCCCAAGTGCTGGGATTATAGGCATGCACCACCATGCCCAGCTTTTTTTCCTCTTTAAGATAAAAAGAAAGAAATCCTATCACAGAAAAAAACATTTTTTTTTGTTTCAGGGCCTCCCATCCTGAAGCCCCAAGCTGTCCCAAAATGTAGCTTTCATCTCCAGCTCACCAGCCTGCCTCTGAGCCCCCTTGAACAAAAGTCCCGAGCTAAGGTTGTTCCAGATTCCCCCAAACTGGCTGCTATTTTGTGCGGTTACTGTTTCCCTTCCTGCAATGCTGTACTGCACAGCTGGAACTGATTTTTAAGTCACAGTCCTTTTCTTCTTCCTGTGCCTCCTACCCTCTCCTCTCCTACCCCATCTGGCCCCATCACTGACCCCTGGGTGCAGTTCTCGTGGCAGGGCCGACATTCATTCCGAACATCCGGGTACTTGTAGATAGGGCCTTTGGCACCTAGGACGCCCTGAGGGCAACTGCTCACACAGTGGGGCCCATCTCGAAAATGGGCGCACTGAGCACAAGCATCAGAGCCCTGGGTAGGAGAAAGGAGGTCAGGGTCCTAAAGCGGGACCCCCTTGTTAATGCCACCCCTCCCAGCAAGGACCGACCCCGCCAGTTCCGGAACCACTGCAGCAGACTGCGACAATATCTGGCCGCTGTGGGCCGTCCTGGACATTTGGTTTTCATTCCCTGGACACTCCAGGGGTCGGCCTTCCCTCCTCCCCTGGAGATCCGGGGCTACTGCCGTACCGAGCCGTTGCACGTGGTTGTGCCCTCCATGGGCTGGCATTCCGGGTGGCAGGAGAAGCATTCAGCTTCGTGGGCAAACTCACGGGGCTCCCTGCAGCGGAGGGTAAGGGAGAAGTGTCACCTCCCAGTCCCGACCTTCACGCCTCGATCCTGCAGTGAGGGTCGCCTTCCTTCCCACCAAGGCGTATGATGAATGGTGCTCAGAGGCTGTCAGATGCCACGCACAGCTCCATCCCACGGCCCCAGCCCCTCCTTCCTGCTGCTCTCCTTTCACCGTACCCATTCAGAAAGTTGCAGTGGGTCACGCAGACACCCCCTCGGCTGTAGTTTCGACAGGATAAACACTGGCCGGGGCCTGGGCCCCAGCATCCCCCGGAGGAGCACAGCGGGTCACACACTTTGCCCTCCGCCACTGGAACAGAAGCGGGAGGTCAGGAGCCGGCGTGCAAGCACTCTCGGCCAGCCCTCTCCTCCTTGCTGCCGCGTGCAGCCTGCCAGCCCCTTTGCCCTTGATTCACCCTCAGCCCGACTCCCAGCTGCGGGGCAGAGCGGTCCTCCTACCCTTCGCCATCCCGTGTCCCGTTCGTTCGCTCACCGCAGTCCCTGCGGGGCCGGTTGTGCTTGATGTCCAGCCTCTCCTCCGCCGGCCCCCGCAGCAGCCTGGTCCAGTTCAGAGAGTGATGGTAGCAGAGCTGCCGATTCGCGCTGATGTAGACCCGGCCGGCGCTCACCTCCTTCAGGGACCGGAGGCCCAGGGAGGTGACGTTCAAGTTCTTCATGATCAGCAGTGAGAAGCCCCGGCTGAGAGCAAGGGAACAGGATGAGCGCGCTGACTGCGGAGGGAAACTTGCACACCCGGCGCATTCATTCTCACTCAGAAATCTGCTCTGGGCTGGTGCTGCCCCCCGGGAGGAGCCGTGCCCCGTCCAACTCTGAGACCTCCGGGGGCGGCTGCAGGGGAGGGTGCCCCCGTGTGCCTGGAGACGCCACCCCCACACCTCCCACTCACTTGTAGAGACTTCTGCCCCCAATGGTCGTCAGGTTGGAAAAAACGCTGAAGTTGTGCATGTGTGGAGGCCAGGACTGGATGTTCAGGTAACCTGAGGGGCGGGAAGAGGCGTGAGGGAGCCTCCGCTGCCGCCTCCTCTGGTTCTCCTGGCCCCGCCTGGTTGCTTGGGACGCGACTTTCTCTAGCAGGTAAGCCCTCTCCCCGCTCACCTGTGATCTCTCGCACTGTCCGGAACACATTGAGCTTCTCGGGGTCTAAGGCAGGGATCTTGTGCCAAGGGTCTCTGGTGAGAGAAGCCAAAGCTTGTCAGCCAGACAGAAATAATCCAGTAGAACTGACACAGCCTGTCTTCCCACTTGCATTTTCTAGGTGGTAATTTGGGGCGGGGGTGCTAGGTGGGCACTCTGCCACTGAGCTGTACCTTCAGCCCAGCGGACTTTTCTAAACGCTGTGCTCCACCCAAAGGAAACAGAGCTGCCTGGACAAAGGGCTGAGGCAGGGGAAATACGCGCCTAGAGCCCAGGCCCTGGAGCACCCTGTGGCCCAGGGTAAGGAGGTGGTCGGGAATGAAGACCACCGCCCAAGACACACGGGAGCAAGTCCGAGGGGCCAAATCAGCAATGCCTGAACACTAAGAAAGGAATCTAAAGGACCAAAAACCAGGCCGGGAGTAGGGCGCACGCCTGTAATCCCAGCACTCGGGAGGCTGAGGCAGGAAGACTGCTGTGAGTTTGAGGGCAGCTTAAACTACATAGCAAGACCCTATCTATAAATAAATAAATTAAATATGTAAGAGCTGGGGATGTAGCTTGGTGGTAATATCTATGGTAATATCTACACAGATCAAATAAATCAGGGCTTGGGGTTTAGCTCAGTGGTAGAGCACTTGCCTAGGAAGCACAAGGCCTTGGTTCAACCCCTAGTCCAGAAAAACAAAGAAAAAAACCTTAACTTGGCTAAGGATGTAGCTCAGTGATAGGGTGCTTGCAGCAGCACGCCTGAGGCCCTAGATTAGATCCTAGCACCAAAAATCTCAAAGCATGAGGACAGCAGACAAACCCAAGATCACGATTCTCCTACTGGTTCGCTGACTTACAGTCACTAACGTCATTGTCATAACAGATAAGCAAAAATCGCGGCCGCCTTTGAGGTTAACGGGGACTGAAGAAACGTCGTAACTGAGTGGAACTGTGGTCTGTGTGTGACATTAGTAGGGCGATTTGTGAACTCTGAATAAAGGCTGTAGATGAGGTAACTGGTTTCAGCGTTTCTTCATTCACATAAATATACTTAGGCTACGTAAGAAAATGTTTGTGAGGGGCCAGGGAAGTAGCTCAGTGGAAGAGCACTTGAGGCCCTGGGTTGAATTCAATTCCTAGAATTCCAACCACAACACCAAAAAGTGAAAGAAAACATGTTCCTGTTTTTAAGGAACATGCTGAAATACAACGGGTAAGGGAGTACTAGTTCTGGAAATTCACCCTCTGTTGGTTCAGAAACACAATAGCATGACTTGTTTGTGTGTGTGTATTTAATATATATATATATACACATATATTATACATTATATATAGTATATGCTACATATACATTATATAGTATATACTACATATATTATGCATTATATAAATATATATATAGTATATATAATAGTATATATATTATATATACTATATACATATATGGGGGGAGAAATAAACAGGCATGGTTGCTCATGCCTGTAATCCCAGCACTTGGGAGGCTGAGGCAGGAGGAATTGTGCAAGTTCAAGGCCAGCCTAGGCTACACAGTGAGTTCAAACCCAGCCTGGACTACACAGCAAGACTATCTCAAAAAAAAAAAAAAACAAGAAACTAAAGTGAGAAGCCAGGTGTGGTGGCGCACACCTGTAATCCCAGTACTCAGGAGGCTGAGACAGGAAGATCAATGAGTTCAAGGCCAGCCTGAACTACCCTGTCTCAAAAAACGCCCCCCAAAACCCTTAAACTGAGTATGATGGTGCATGCCTGTAATCCTAGTACCCAAAGACTGAGGCAGGAGGATTGCAAATTCAAGGGTTGCCTGGGCAACTTTGTAACTTGGCATGACCCTGTCTGGCAATAAAAAATTTAAAAAGGGCTGGGGGCGAGGATATAGCTCAGTGGCACAGCGCCTGCCTGGGAAGCATGAGGTCCTGAGTTCAATTCCTAGTAAAAAAAAAAAGGGGGGGGGGGTGGGGTATGTAACTTAGTACAAAGCCCATGGGTTCAAAAATAAAAAAAGGGGCTGGGCATGGTGGCGCATGTTTGTAATCCCAGCACCTAGGAGGCTGAGGCAGGAGGACTGCTGCTGAGTTTGAGGCCAGCCTGGGCTACACAGTGAGTTCAAGGCCAGCCTGAACTACACAGTGAGACCCTGTCCCCTTCCCCCAAAAAAAGGAAAAGGAAAAAAAGCAAGTGGCCACAGTGTTTCTGTGACCCTCCACCTCTAGCTCTCTCTTACACACACACACACACACACACACACACTTTAAGTTCTCCCGGTGCATCAGGATGTCCCTTCGCTCTCAGTTGTTCCAAGAAGAACCAGGGGAAACAGCTGGAAATCGTGGTTAGGTATATTCTTATCTAAGTTTAAGAATAACTTTCAGAAAACTTAAAGGAAACGAATACACTGTCCCTGTCCCATCAGGATGCTACTGATTGTTTAAGGCTGTCCCCGAGGGTGCTTAAGCCCTGCACATGAAGTTGCGCTCAGCATTTTCTCAAGGCAGAGGCCAACTGCTAAGGCTTTAGCCTTAGATCTATAGTCACTCCAGGTGGGGACAGTTTAGGCCAATAAAGTGAACCACGGGGGTGGATGTGAGGGACCCTGGGAGGAAGGGCAGAAGCTCCAACCCGTTGAGGCCGGTGATCAGGAAGTCCAGGTTGCCCAGGATCTTGGTGCAGTTCACAAACCCATCGATGTTGCTCGAGTCCACAGTCTGGAAGCGACTCCCGGCGCCTGTCCCTTCACAGGCTGCAAACACAAAAGGAGCTGAGTGCGGGTGGCCCGAGTAGCCTCGGAGGAAAGGACGTGTCTCCATCCCTCTACCCCTCCCGCTCACCTTTAGGGCACAACCCTCCACAAGGCTCACACATGTTGACGCCATTTTTATCTACTTCCATCTTGTCAGGAGGACAGGCCCTGACACAGGATGTCTGATCCACCACGAAGTTATCTGGGGAAAATCAGTTAAAGTTATCTACGAGCACCGCCAACTACCTCGGTCAGCCCTCCTCCGGGCCCTTGCTCCCTCCTGCTCTGCACTGGACTGGCCCCATCGGCCTCCGTAGCTTCCTAAAGGGCTGTGCTGTATCACAAACTCCCTTGGCTCTCCCTTGCTCCTCAAGGCTGGGAAGGAGCAGCTAGGGGAGGCAGCGAGGGAGACAGTGCAGAGGTCACCCGCCGAGGGAAGTCAGACGGTCACAACCCTGTGTATTTTTTTTTTTTGGTACCGGGAATCGAGCTCATGACCTTGTGCTTGCCAGGCAGGTGCTGTGCCGCTGAGCTACGTCCCCAGCTACCCTATGCTCTCTAGATTCCCTGTATGACATCCAGGCTGATCCCTCTGTCTCCCAACCCGCTGCCATTTCCTCCCCCAGCACTTACGGGGACAGCTGGCCACACAAACGCCTCCGTACTGGTACTTGGTGTGGGGATTGGGTTCGAGCTGGAAAGTGAGCTTGTTGTACACGAGGGGCTGTGGACACAGGGGCACGCAAGCTCCGCTGTCGTTGAAGTGTCGGCAGGCCTGGGGACACAGGAAACTCCTGACTCACGATACGTGTGGCCCCTACCTCCTCCCCACAGCCCGCGCGCCCTGCTCTCGGAACCGGCGGGCAGCCGGCGGGGGCACGTACAAAGCAGTCGGTGTCCTGGGGGCCGGAGCAGCCCCCTGCACACTCATCGTGGCAGCACTGGTTGGGGTCCGGCCCAAAGCAGTGCCCGTTACACTGAGGGGCACAGATGGTCTTCGTCACTACGGAGGGAGAGAAAGCATGGCGATGAGGGCTCCTAGGACTGAACTCCAAGGCCACTGCTCACGTCCATCCTCAGCGTTGAGGCCTGGGTTGGCAGGGCTGTCGAAGTGCGAGCTTGAGGTGTTTAAAGGGAAATCGAAACCCACATGTCTGGCAGTCCTCGGGTCCAGGGCCCCAGCAACGCCCCTTGCAGGCCTCGTGACAGGGGGGACCTGGTTAGGAAGAAAGGCAACATGGGGGGCCATCAGTTCTAAGAAAGGCTTGCTTGGATCAGCAGGGTATGATGTCAGCACACAGGAACCTCAACCCGGGGAGCAAGAGCCAGGGCAGTGTCCCTCCCTGGCCTTGGAGAGCAGGGCTGGGCTGCAGTGAATCTGTCAACAAGGGGCGGAGCCACACCCCCACACCGCCCACTGGGCAGCTGAGGGGAGGGACTGGGGCAAATGCCAACCTCAGCCCCAGCCCCAACCAGGAACCTGGCTCCTTCTGGGCAAACTGGGCCGAGCAGGGACATGTGTTTGGGAAGGGACAGGGCGCGGCAGGCTGTGGTCAGGGGCGGCAGGCAGATGCCGTAGTGCCAAGAGCAATGGATGCACAGCCCAAAGACCTGGCTTCCCTGCACAGCACCCGAGATCTGCCGCTTTTCCTGATACGCCGCTTCTGTGGCATGGGTTCTGGGGGCCCGACCGGGTCTCTCCTAGCGCAGGCTCTTGGGCGTAGGGTCTGGGATGGCTGTTCGGTGGAGAGGTGGGCCCGGCTTAGGGATGCGCTGGTTGGGTGGCGCACAGGGAACAGTCCTGATCCTGGCACTTACAGCTTCGGCCATTGTCCTTCACCACTATCTCGGCACCTGGGTGCCTCACGATGTCCCGCCAATCAATGGTGTCCATGTGACAAAGTTTCTCATTCTTCTCAATATAAACGCCCCCTGACAGAATCTCTGAGGCAGGGATAAAGGGAAAGGTTACGGGCTTCGGCGCAGCTCCTCTTCCCGCCCTCCCCCTGCAGCCGTCCAAAAGGACTCGGGCCAGCCAGGAGCAGGGGAAGCGCGGCACACAGAGTTCAGGTAGGCCCCCGCTGCAGGGAAGGGCTGCCTTCTAAGAGGAGGAGTCAGGTCTTCTGCCTCCTCAGACACCTGTCCAGATCCCAGATCCGGTTTAGCCAGTGGAGGAGGGGGAGGGAAAGAAGGAAAAGATATTTTGACTCAATGCCTTGCCCCCAGGCCTACCCAAGTGTTTTCCAACAACTGGGACAGGGCGACAGGGCGCCCCAGCAGGTGCAGGTGGGATTTAACCCTGTGTTCCTCCAGCTTGTGGCGTCGGGAGGGAGGGACACCAAAGGACACTGTGCCTTGCAAGTGCAGGCTGCCTACCAGATTCAACGCCAGCTCCAACTCCCGCCCCACCGGAAGGACCTCCCCTCCCAGGGCAGGCGCCCTCAGCTCCCCGCTGGGGTCTTCTCCTGTTTAAGGGCTGGTGGACCTTTAAACTATGGTGGTCAGGCAGTCTTGGGTCCGCAGCAGAGCGGTGCCCATCAGCGGGATGCTGAGAGCACGACCAGAAGGGATCCGTAGCGACTAACCCGTGAGCTGGGTGAAGCGGAGCTGGCGCAGAGCGTGGCTGGAGTTGGTGTTATAGTTCAGCATGACAAAGATGGCGAACTTCCCATCGTAGACCTGGGTCCCCCGCACCACTCGCAGGTTAGGCAACGGGAGTGTGGAGAACTCGTTCATGGCCACAAGGACATAGCCCGTCACTTCTCGAATCCACTGTGAGGGGGCAGACCACGTCAGTGAGAGATGACAGGACGGCGTCTCAGGCCTTTCCCTCCTTAAGGCGTGAAGGAGGAGCCTTTGACTATTTTTTGGAGTGCCAGGGATTGAATCCAGGGCCTCGCTCATTTCAGGAAGGCACTCTACCCCTGACCTAACTGCCCAGCCCCCTTTGAATCCTTAACTCATTGCCCAGGTTGGCCTCAAATTTCTAGGGGAACGTGATCCTCTTGCCTCAGTCTCCTGAGTGGTGGGATTGCAGGTGTGGGTCGTTGTACCACCTGCCCCATCCCCTTCTCAGGGCCGCCCCGTGTATCTCTGACTCCACGATCAGACCTCAGATCCTGGATTCAGGTCCTGTCTCCCTTATGGAACTCCTGAGGGGGGCTCCTGAGTCTCAGGAAGCTGAGCTGAGCAGAGCCATCCTGAGGAAAGGACAGCGTCTTCTCTGCGGAGGGTGGGGGACGATGGTCAGTGCAAGGGGCCGGGCACTCTAACCTGCAGGAAGGAGAGGTCAGCGTTGTGTCCGGTGAGAACGATCTCCAGGTTCCCCATCACCACCTCACACCTCTCGTAGAGCTTGTGTAGCGTTTGGTACTGGTTCTCTGCGTCGCCTGTCACACTCAGCCCGTTCAGGGTCCCGGGGCACACTGTTCAAAGTGGGTAAGAGTGGCAAAGGGCTGGACACTAGCTTTTGGGGCCATCTGCCACCCGCAAGAGCACCCCTCGTTGTTGCACTCTGCCAGAAACACTCAGCAGGACCGGAAGATAGCTGCCTGCAAACCTCTGCAGTGAGGGGTAGACAGTGACACCTTTGGCAGCCGGAGCCTCCCCCCACAGTCCCCACCGTCCACGAAATGGGAAGGTGAGGAGGTTTCCTTTCCCACTGGGGCACACCCTCTTCTGCCTCTTTCAGGTATTACTTTGGGGATGAAGGAGTTAATCCAGAAGGAGGAAGAGGGGACTTTTTCCTCTCCCGAGAAAGAAGTTAGGCAAGGACCACAGCTTTGATTCCCCCCCTCCTCGCAGCCAGGGCACTCACTGCTCTGCCCCCAGCCTGCCTCTCTGGGCCCTGGGATAAATATCTCTTTGGGGCTAGCACACAGCCCCTATTGTGTCTGCCAGGGTGGGATGGGGCAGAGGGTGGGGGCATTGCCCAGGGCCACAGTTCAGCCACAATGAGGCGATTCTATCCAGGAGGAGGGGGTTGCCCCACCCTGTCCAAGACACCCCATCCTCAGCAGCACCCCCGTCCAGGCTGGAACCCTGGGCTCAGACAAGTGACCTCACCGGAGGGGGGAGCTCCGGTGGTGGTGGGGTCAATGGGAGCTTTGTCTTTAACACTGGAAGATAAGGCGCTGGCAGGCACCCCCCCTTATAAATTTTGGCTCCCTTCCCCTGTCCCGACACTCCAGCCCCCTCAGCACCACTGTCCAGCCTTACAGTATTTTTCAGCAAACAGAAGAACCCTGAAAGGAAACAGTAGCAGACTCCTAAGCCCTCTGCCAATTTCAGTGTGAGCAGAGGTTCATGAACGAAGCCCCAACACGGCAATCGTCGCCGGCCCCTGCACTGGGGGACAGCCCAGACCTGGGGGCCCGGAGGAGAGGTGCACGAGGCACCTTGAGGTCTCACTCTCCTTTGCAGACATGCAGGGCATCAGGCTTTGGGCAGCGCTGGAGCTGAAGCTGTACTGTCTCTTGCCCTTGCGGGTAGGGTGCAGAGAAGGGGGGTAGACGGCACCTGTTCCAACCACCCTGCCCCAGGCGGTGGCCGCTCTGTGGGAGGCAGAGGCACCCAAGAGGAGCAGGGAGGTGGGGCCCCACCCTCCTGCGGGATGCTGCCGAGGTCAGACCACTTGACCTGCGGGATCCCCTTCCCCGTCACTCTCTGTGAAGGGAAAGGGGCGGGGCGGGGGGGGGTCTCAGCACAGGGGACAAACAGGTGGGGAGCTCCCAGAGGAGCCTGGGAAGGTTAGTCATTTCTGGACTGGCCCCACCCCAAACCCCTTCCTGGCAGGACACCCCCTCTTCCAAGTTAAGGCGCCAACCCTCCTCAGATAAAGGAGGAGCCAAGATTTCTGCACCAGGAAGTGGTGTGTGCGTGCACGCGTGCATGCACACTCCCCGAGACACAACCGCAAACACAAACATGTACACAACTCTCCCGCTGGCCCAGAAATCTAACCGGCCTGTCCTCAGGACCCCGGTCACCAGGTACCACGGGTGCCCCACGGAGGCCACCTGCCCATAATCACAGCCCAGACTTTGAGTGTGCTGGGGGGAAGGCGCAGGGTAACAGGTCCCGGCTCCTTCCACCCTGAGGGGAAAGTCCACCTTTCACAAGTGGGAGCAAAGGGCCTGGGCAGGGAGTATATACAACACCGCTGGGGAGGAACCCGGCCCCTGGGGAACAGGGAAGGGGAGCCCGCGTATAACAACCCCTGCTGTACCCAGGAATGGGGTGTGCAGCGTCAAAGACCCTCCTTAGGAAGTGCGCCCTGGGGGTAGGACTGGGGAGACAAGTCCCTCCTCAACCAGAGGCCTCCCCTCCTGTCCTCCACCCCCACCACAGCGGCGGGGACAAAGGGACTACACAGGGCCTGAGACGGGCCGGATGCCCAGAGGCTGCAGGATCCAGATAAAGTGTAGGGACCCAAAGTGCCTGCCTCCTGCCTCTCGGGGAGGGTGCGGGAATCCGGGACTCCCGGGATCCCCGCGGAACACTCTAGGGGTCTGTAGGGGACAGTGACCCAGCCACTCCACCGGCCCCTCCCACTCCAGGCTCCAGACCACCCCCTCCACCAGCTGGGAGTTCCACATCTCAAGATCTCAGGAGCTAAATTTAGGCCCAGCAACTGTGGGGAGCCACAGGTGGCTTCTCCCACTCCCACCCTGGGGCAGGGGCCCTGGCTGTGCCGAAGCCCAAGCTTCGGCCTGGGGGGATGGGAAGAGGACTCTCAACAGGACTCCGATCCCACCCAGGCCAGCACCCGCCAGGTGTCCCGGGTCCCAGAGACCCCTCCAAAGGTGTGGGTCAGGCGGCATGGGAGTGGGCGGTGGGATGGTGAGGAGCTCCGTAGAATCCAGGCCGGAGTACACAATAAACAGACTCCGGGAGGGGCAGGAACAACCTCTAGAACAGGTGGCTCTCAAGGTGGGAGAGGTGCCTGCGTGGCCCTCAGGCTGGGGTGAGAAAAGACAGAGAAATGAAGTCTGATGCAAAGTCCTTTCCCTTTTGGAGCTCCTGGCGCCAAGTCTCGTACATAGTAGATGTTCAATAAATGTCAGGTGAATGGCCCTGCGTCTTGACAAAGAGGCTGGTCAAGGTGGGGCCGGCCCGCTTTGTTTGGAGGGCAAGCAGAGGCCAGCCCCGTGGGGCCTCCCTCCCTGCTGTCCCCTGGACTTGGCCCTCTGGTTAATCTCTCTGTCCTCCCCACTCACGGAAGAGGAGGTGCCACTCCTGTTTTTCCAACATCAGAAAACAACAACCTACTCTCGCCCTCGCACAGCTCCGCCCTGTCGGCAAAACAACGAAACCAGGGGTTGCGGAAAGCTGGGTGGAGAGGGGGTCCGAGGGTACAGTGCGCCCATCCGCCCAGATCCCCGCCTCCCGCAAGCTCCCCCGCACCCGAAACCTGGGTCCCCACTCCCGCTCCCTGCAAGGTCCCTCAGCCTCACCCGCGGAGACCCTGGGGGGTCAGCGACGCCCTGGGAAGGGGTGGGCGTCCCGGAGTGCAGTCCCTGCCGGACCGCGCCGAGGACGCGAGCCTGACGCTCCCCTCCCGGTGGCCCCGCCGCGCGCTCCCCGCTCCGGGTCCCCCGGGTCCCGGCCCGCCGGCGCCAGCGCCGCTTACCTGCCTGCGAGCTGCCCACCTCGGAGCCCCGGGCCAGGCTCAGGAGGAAGCCCAGCACCTGCAGAGCCCCGCCGGCCCTCATGACTCCGGCGGGAGGTGCGCGGAGCCCAGCCGAGTCCGGCCGGGGGCCCCGGACTAGGGCATCGAAGCGACGGCCACCTGGGCGGCCCG